TTACTTGTTTATGGATAATCTGAAAATTATAATCTGATAAATCATTATGGTCAGAAATATATTATACCAGAATCAGATTACCAGTTTGTGTGGGTGTGGGTGGGTGGGTGCGTGCGTGCGTGCGTGCGTGCGTGGGTGTGTTCGTGTGTGTGTGTTCATGTGTGTGCGTGTGTGTGTGTCAGAAATATATTATACCAGAATCAGATTACCAGTTTGTGTGGGTTGGTGGGTGGGTGGGTGTTCGCGTGCGCGCGTGCGTGTGTGTAGGATTGGGGTTGGTGAGAGAATGAGGATAGGGTTCAGGGGTTAAACTCACTGAGATAAAATTGAAATTATTGGATGTCTTTATGTTGGGAAATAACCTTCCAGGCCCAGGGGAAAGTGGGTCAGTTTTTTTTATTATAGATTTGGGCACCATTGATGTTTATTTGTCCATTCAAAAGCTTGTAGATGGTTGTATGTAGTGGAAGGGGGAGGGGCCTGTCCATGTGCCACGCCCTGCTTATCACCTGTCAACACCTGTCTGTAGTCGCTAGGTGTGTTAATATGAATATTGTGTCATCCGGCATGGTTCCTGTCACCACTGAAAATGATTGTGTCATCTAAGTATTGTGTAAGCTAACCATTGTGTCATCTGAGTATTGTGTCAGCTAACCATTGTTTCATCTGAGTAGTGTGTCAGCTAACCATTGTGTCATCTGAATATAGTGTCAACTAACCATTGTCATCTGAGTAGTGTGTCAGCTAACCATTATGTCATCTGAGTATTGTGTCAGCTAACCATTGTTTCATCTGAGTATTGTGTCAGCTAACCATTGTTTCATCTGAGTAGTGTGTCAGCTAACCATTGTGTCATCTGAGTATTGTGTCAGCTAACCATTGTGTCATCTGAGTATTGTGTCAGCTAACCACTGTGTCATCTGAGTATTGTGTCAGCTAACCATTGTGTCATCTGAGTATTGTGTCAGCTAACCATTGTGTCATCTGAGTATTGTGTCAGCTAACCATTGTGTCATATGAGTAGTGTGTCAGCTAACCATTGTGTCATCTGAGTATTGTGTCAGCTAACCACTGTGTCATCTGAGTAGTGTGTCAGCTAACCATTGTGTGAGTAGTGTGTCAGCTAACCATTGTGTCATCTGAGTATTGTGTCAGCTAACCATTGTGTCATCTGAGTATTGTGTCAGCTAACCATTGTGTCATCTGAGTAGTGTGTCAGCTAACCATTGTGTCATCTGAGTAGTGTGTCAGCTAACCATTGTGTCATCTGAGTATTGTGTCAGCTAACCATTGTGTCATCTGAGTATTGTGTCAGCTAACCATTGTGTCATATGAGTAGTGTGTCAGCTAACCATTGTGTCATCTGGTATTGTGTCAGCTAACCATTGTGTCATCTGAGTAGTGTGTCAGCTAACCATTGTGTCATCTGAGTATTGTGTCAGCTAACCATTGTGTCATCTGAGTATTGTGTCAGCTAACCATTGTGTCATATTGTGTCAGCTAAGTATTGTGTCAGCTAACCATTGTGTCATCTGAGTATTGTGTCAGCTAACCATTGTGTCATCTAAGTATTGTGTCAGCTAACCATTGTGTCATCTGAGTATTGTGTCAGCTAACCACTGTGTCATCTGAGTTTTTGTCCATCCACACAATACAGTGCCAGTCTTCCTTGTCAAGTGATACGAAGAATATTATCTTACCATCTTGTTATCACATTATCTACCAACTGTGTGGTTATGTCAGTATGAGGGACCGCAGTCCTAACACTCAGTCAGGCCAACATGTTGCCACATTTGCACAGTGATTAGTCAAGGACTCTTCTGAATATTGTACATCCTTGTATTGATAACAGTGATTATTTCACTGTAATGATGCTCAGTCCATGTCTCTTACTGGATGTAATTGCTGATTTTCTGTTTCTTGAAGAGAGAAGAAACATTCCTTCACTTGCGAACCACTGTCGATTACAAATTGTATATTTTCACAATTTGATGTTTGTTTCTAAACCAACGGGTGTTCTTTGTTAATATTTAGGAGTATTTGCAGCATGATGATCCAGGAAGTGTTATGTGAGGAGACACAGTTACTCAAGTATATCGTCTTACAGGATGTTAGATAAGACTGACTCAGATACATTACATACCAACAACAAGTCACGAGGTGATGCAGTAGACAGATGGGTAAAATATGTCACTGAGTCTATGATAGACAAAGTGGAAGGGGGAATGGTGGGGAGGGGCACAGTGGTGTTGGGCACAGGTGATGGGAATTCATTAGGGGAACAGGTAAGGAATACAGTGTAAGGGGAACTGTTATAGGGAATAAGTATTCAGGACACGGGTGAGGGGAACAGGTGTACGGGACACAGGTAAAGGGGACCGGTGTACAGGACACAGGTAAGGGGAACAGGTGTGCAGGACACAGGTGATGGGGACAGATGTAAGGGGAAACAGGTGTACAGGACACAGGTAAGGGGAACAGGTGTACAGGACACAGGTGAGGCGGACAGATGTAAGGGGAACAGGTGTACAGGACACAGGTGAGGGGGACAGATGTAAGGGGAACAGGTGCACAGGACACATGTAAGGGGAACATATGTAAGGGGAAACAGGTGTACAGGACACAGGTAAGGGGGACATATTTAAGGGGAAACAGGTGTACAGGACACAGGATATAAAGAGAACAGGTGTACAGGACACAGGTAAGGGGAACAGATGTAAGGGGAACAGGTGTACAGGACACAGGTGAGGGGAACAGATGTAAGGGGAACAGGACACAGGAGAGGGGAACAGATGTAAGGGGAACAGGTGTACAGGACACAGGTAAGGGGAACAGGTGCACAGGACACAGGTGAGGGGGGCAGATGTAAGGGGAACAGGACACAGGAGAGGGGAACAGATGTGAGGGGAACGGGTGTACAGGACACATGTAAGGGGAACAGATGTAAGGGGAACAGGTGCACAGGACACAGGTGAGGGGGACAGATGTAAGGGGAACAGGACACAGGAGAGGGGAACAGATGTGAGGGGAACGGGTGTACAGGACACATGTAAGGGGAACAGATGTAAGGGGAACAGGACACAGGAGAGGGGAACAGATGTAAGGGGAACAGGTGTACAGGACACAGGTAAGGAGAACAGGTGCACAGGACACAGGTAAGGGGAACAGATGTAAGGGGAACAGGTGTACAGGACACAGGTGAGGGGAACATTTAAGTCAAATAGGTAAAGGACACAGGTGTATGGGGAACAGATGAGGGTCAAGTGTATAAGTGACACAGACAGGTAAGCAGGTAAATTGAAGTGACAAGTCTCTGCGACAGAAAATAGGAATTGTTGAGGGGCACATGTAGGGGCACGGCATCAAGCTCATCTACCAAAGATGTACCACTCCTTGTAAATCACAGCCCATTCAACACAACCTCGAATCGGATATTAACTGCAATATCCCATCCTAAAACACCGAAGCCCAAAACTTATCACCAAACACCAACAAGATATTTTAAATATCAGCCTCTTTGAACTCTGTCTACCAATGACTATCGTTAGTTCCAGCACTGGGGTTCACAATGACCGACCCTTAGGTAATGTCACGCTGCCATCTCCAGGTGATCCATCTCTGACGTAATGTTTATCAATAAACATATCAATAAACATATTATTTATAAAATGTCAATGACAGTTATTTGAAGTTGCCTGACCAGGTTGTCTGCCCTTGGAGCGGTGTTTGAGGGACTTGTGTTTGACATGGAATATTTTTAGCTGATGCATCAAACTTGCCACACAATGTTTAGCGGCCTTTGTTGGAGCCTGAGAAGTTTTAGATCGCTGTGTAATGTTCTTGTTTAGCCACACAAGCTCCGTGGAGCTGGGGGATCGAGGCAGGAGAGTGTAGCTTTTGTTTCAGACCCTTCGGGAAGGATGGACGTTTGTCTATAGGGAGGTGGCTTATCTTGGAGAAACATTTGATGAATAAACGAGACATGTTTGTTGAGTTTGTATGAAGGACAAATAGACATACAAACCAATTTGGGTCAGTGTTAAACTCATTTACATCTAGTCGCCACTATCTGATCGTAATTAGCAGAGCTGCTCAAGACTCCTGGAGAACAAGTGTCCAACTGCTGTCAATTCTCAGTGTTTATTTTTAATCTTCGCATGAAATATACTCCTTACTTGCAGTTGGACACATTCTCTTGGCAGAGAACAAAACAAAGTATATCATTGTTTAGATTTAACTGAAATATTTAAGAAGAGGTCCAATCTCTAGGAATTTTGGAATTGGATGTTTATTTGAGGAGATTCTCCATAGTGATGTGATCATCCTCTATTGTGGTGTGATTATTTCTGTGTACCTGAGATGTGGGTATTTAATAATTATAGAACTAGGAATCATATTTGAAATACCAATTTTCAGAAGCCTGTTTATCATTGTCATTATAATTATTCTCATTAAACAGAGTTTTGAGGAACCGTTGAGCAGTATAATGCTTCAGTTCATTACCTCGTCCTTTCTTGACCAGCTCAGTGAATCGCGTCTCTGCCTGCTCTCAAGACGAGGACTCAACCACGAGACATGTTATAATTATTCATGAGCAAGTATGGTTGTGTATGCAACCATGTATACAACCCCTAACATTTTTCATATATTAATATTGTTAATATTCTGTTCATGTTAAGCACTTGTATTTCAGCAGCGATGTCGTAGATGTGACCTCTCGGCCCTTGTTACATGTTGTGAACAGCGAGGAGGTCATATCTTATTTATCTTTGGCAGATTGCCAACCCAATGAGCCTTAACCCATCCATGTTCTATAATTCATGTACATCCCACTAACAAAATGTTGATTGCAGATATTGCTTGACATGATTTGAGTGATTAGAAAATATATTTCTTCTTTTACAAGAAACAAAATGTGAAGATCATACACTCGTGAAGACCGAACAGTTTGATCATGTGTATTACCAAACAATTTATTTTCCCCTTGTTTCCTCCGCTAGACAGATGATGAGGAGGTAAGTCCCAGCATGCACTGCAGGAGCGTGGAGAGGAAGTAGATATACTCTGTATCCAACCCATACACATTGTCTATATCACACAGCACTCGACACTGTTTCTAACTCTTAACACGATGCATGTCTGTCAATACTTCAGTTTAACTTGTCGTAACACTTCACATGAGACTTTGTTGTCAAATATGAGACTTCAGACCGTGTTGTCTAACACAATCCATGAGACGTCAGGTGTTGTCTAACACAATCCATGAGACGTCAGGTGTTGTCTAACACAATCCATGAGACGTAATTTGTTGTCACAATTGTTATAGGTCTTTCTGAAATATATGGAAAATTGCTAAGTGCAAAATAGTAATGGAGTTCTGTTTGTCTTGTGTGTTGTTTAACACTGTAGCAATCTTCCACAACTATGACTGACTGACTGACTGAGTTTGCTTTTACGCCGCTTTTAGCAATTTCCCAGCAACATCACGGCGGGGGACACCAGAAATAGGCTTCACACATAATAAGTGTACCCATGTGGGGATTCGAACCCGGGTCTTCGGGGTGACTAGCCAACGATTTAACCACTAGGCTACCCCACCGCCCCCCAAAACTATGAAGGCAGCCTGTAAATAATAAAGTCATGCTCAGACAATCCAGTGATTGACGTTATGAGCATCGACCTAGACAACTGAGATAGAATGACATGTATCAACCAAGTGAGTGTGTCTGACCACACGACCCAGTAAGTCACAAGCATAGATGTTCAAGGGAGACAGGCAAGGCGTGTAGCCAGGTTTAATGAGTACTGAAGAAAGAGATGCATCACCTCCAGGCACTCAAACATTTAATGTAAAATGAGGGCCACAATTCGACAAGCTTGGGGGTAGTCAACATTTATACCTTGATTAAACCATTTATACATTTCACAAGCAGCTCAATTAATCATCAACTCCTTCTACAGAACTCGGAGAAACTCGGTTGTTATGACTATACATGTATCGTATACACCAGATTGTGGTTGTTATGTGTGTGAACGGAGTCTGTGATTGTCCGTGTCGTAATCAAATTCTATTCAATGATTGATGTCGAGTCATTTGTTTGGACTATATATAGCTTCCCAGTCGTCATGGTGGATTGTGATGTAGTGCAGATCAGAATCACTTATATAGAAAACACACTATGACTACTGCAGGTCACGAGGTGACTGAAATATTGATGATTTGCATAAATATTACAACATATCTGGTAATGTTATACACTGACACGCAATCAAGACTTGACCTAGAAATACTCCGCCGATGAGAGTACGAGCAACGTCATATACATGACCATTACGGCAGCAGCAACATCAGCATGTACAGCAGCAATGCAACAGCAACTTTAGCAGTGTTACCACAGCAACATTTTAACAACAGCGTGTACAACAACATTATGACAACAGCATTACAACATGGCAACAACAGCATGTACAACAACAGTATAACAACAGCGTGTACAACAACAGTATAACAACAGCGGCGTGTACAGCGTATACAACTACATCACAATATTAGTATGTACAGCAACATCAACAGCAACAACAGCAGCAACCAAGCTTCAGTAGTACTTAACCCTGCCTTGGAGTGATGAATGGTTGATCCTGGTTAGATACGTCCATTACATGCTTACAATGTCAGGCCTCTCTTGTCGACAACACACCAGAAACTGAAGTCCTTGTCTAGGGACCAACCACACCACATGGTGGTCAGTTCCAACTCTGGATGAGTAATCACACTCTGTATACAGATGTCTAAAAACTTATGAAACTTCACCTCTGCTACTGTAACAGTTTTATATTTGAATATTCACAAATAATGTCCCTGCAGTCTAAAGAAGTCTGGTGGACACCAGGTGTTGAGTCTTGACCCTGGTGTTGCAGTTTATCGTGTGTTGTTAACAAGAGAGACCACGAGGAGGGTCTGCAGTTGGATGTAACCAGGAGCATTACAGATTACGACAAGCTTTGAATGGCCTCTAGGTTAGTTTAGATTTAGACAGTAGGCTTACAGCTTGTCTGATGATGGCGACTTGGTCATAGCTTAGAGATGAAGATGGCTTGAGTAGCATCCAGACATGGGTTGACATAGCTTAGAGATGGAGAGGTTGTAGGAACACTCCAGTACGGTGCACGGAGTTACCGCATCAACATGTAGTGTCATATATTCTGTGTTGATGATTATTATTTTTATTATTTCATTATTGGTATGTATGGTAACATGAATATGTAATATTGTTTTCTTCTATTCCAAATAGACACAATTCCTGTTTGAAGAAATCTTTGATAAATGTTAAGACATATTTCTAGGTCTCATCCTCCCTAACCCACTCCTGCTCCACCCATTTCACATCACCCTGTCCCACCTCATCCCACCCCATCTCACCCCTACTCCACCCAGTTCACATCACCCTGCCCGACGCAATTCATCCCACCTCCCTACTCCATCCAGTTCACATCACCCTGCATCCCACCCCCATCTCACCCCCTACTCTACCCAGTTCACATCACTCCTCTGCCCCCCACTCATCCCACCCCATCCTCACCCCTACTTCACCCAGTTTCATCACCCTGTCTCATCTATCCCACCCCATCTCACCTCTACTACTCCACCCAGTTCACATCACCCCTGCCCCACCCCTCATCCCACCCCACTCCTCCTCACCCTACTTCACCCAGTTCACATCACCCTGCCCCACCTCATCCCACCCCATCTCACCCCTACTCCACCCAGTTCACATCACCCTGCCTCGACAATCCTCCCACCCCACCTCACCCCCCTACTCTACCCAGTTCACATCACACCCTGCCCGACGTCATCCCACCACCCATCTCACCCCTACTCCACCCAGTTCACATCACCCCTGCCCCCTCCCCATCCCACCCCATCTCACCCCCTACTCTACCCAGTTCACATCACCCTGCCTCATCTCATCCCACCCCATCTCACCCCCTACTCCACCCAGTTCACATCACCCTGCTCCCTCCCCATCCCACCCCATCTCACCCCTACTCCACCCAGTTCACATCACCCTGCCTCACCTCATCCCACCCCATCTCACCCCCTACTTCACCCAGTTTCATCACCCTGCCCCACCTCATCCCACCTCATTATCCACCCCATCTCACCCCTACTCCACCCAGTTCACATCACCCTGTCCCACCTCATCCCACCCCATCTCACCCCTACTCCACCCAGTTCACATCCCCTGCCTCCATCCCACCCTGCCTCACCTCATCCCACCCCATCTCACCCCTACTCCACCCAGTTCACATCACCCTGCCTCACCTCATCCCACCCCATCTCACCCCTACTCCACCCAGTTCACATCACCCTGCCCCACCTCATCCCACCTCATCTCACCCCTACTCCACCAAGTTCACATCACCCTGCTACATCCCACCCCATCTCACCCCTACACCACCCAGTTCACATCACCCTGCCCCCACCTCATCCCACCCCATCTCACCTCTACTACTCCACCCAGTTCACATCACCCTGCCCCACCTCATCCCACCCCACCTCACCCCTACTCCACCCAGTTCACATCACCCTGCCCCACCTCATCCCACCCCATCTCACCCCTACTCCACCCAGTTCACATCACCCTGCCCTCACCTCATCCCACCCCATCTCACCCCTACTCCACCCAGTTCATCACCCTGCCCCACCTCATCCCACCCCATCTCTCACCCCTACTCTACCCAGTTCACCACCCTGCCTCTCACCTCATCCCATCCCATCTCACCCCTACTCTACCCAGTTCACATCACCCTGCCTCATCTCATCCCACCCCATCTCACCCCTACTCTACCCAGTTCACATCACCCTGCCTCATCTCATCCCACCCCATCTCACCCCTACTCCACCCAGTTCACATCACCCTGCCTCACCTCATCCCACCCCATCTCACCCCCTACTCTACCCAGTTCACATCACCCTGCCTCATCTCATCCCACCCCATCTCACCCCTACTCCACCCAGTTCACATCACCCTGCCCCACCTCATCCCACCCCATCTCACCCCTACACCACCCAGTTCACATCACCCTGCCCCACCTCATCCCACCCTGAAATTTTGTTTCAAAGTTTGTCCAGTATATTTGATTTCAATGATGTAAAGAATACAAATTAAACTTACCTGGCAGAAGTTTACATTTCCTGGGTTAAAATGTCTGAATGGTGAAGCAAGAAACTCTCTTTTGTCTTGAAACACTTTCTTTAGTCAAATGAATTGTACAAATTGTGTATTTCTTGCTGTATTGTTCACCAACAACTGTGTATAGGGACAACAAACTGACTGAATACATTCGCTATATCAGGTTTCCGTCAGGAATTCTGTCTATTTGTAACTTGTTGAGCACCCTACTTACCTGGTGTTGATTTACCTGATAATACACCTGTATGCTCGTTAGTGTGATTTGATGTAATTAACCTGCATGGAGTGTTTCAAGGTCCCCTGGCTCTTTGACATCTGTTGACGTTTTATACTTGATGACATCTTGCTTGTCACACACTGATATATGAACAAATATGATTCATAAAATGATTTAAAATTTTTTGAAAAAAATGTAATCTGTGACATTCATTTTTATACACCATATGAACCTGCTACCTTAAACATGAGTACTGAAGAGATCATTGCCCCAGGGTCAGAAGTTTTAATCCTATAAGCATTTAATGGTTTGAAAGTGAAAAACTAAGTTTGATACTCCATGCCATGTTTGATGTATAATAGCTACAAGTATTCTCATTTAAAAAGGGACCTTAAACAATTGGCTGTAATACTGTCCTGTCAATATACGGTATAGATATGTAATAAATACAATAGTTCAGATGACAACAATCTCCTGTAACCATGGTGCCATCCTTGCAGCTCTGGCAAATATTAGATACAGATGTATCCATGACAACTGGCACAGTACTCCCCATCTGGTTGATACACATATTTAATATTGCATGGCATCCATCAGTAGCATGAGAGAATGGATCATCCTACCTGTCTGTGCTAATGTAACCTAATGGATGTGTCTCCATCTTCTGTTGTAGTGTCATGTCAGCACATAAGTCTGTCATCAGTCCAGATAAATTATTTCACATCAAATTGCAGGCTGTGGCTTTCAGATTTGATTGTACCATGTTAGCATTCAAAGAGATCAATTCCATGAAGTGTCCATGGATAATTTGGGCCATTCAATGATGCAGCTGTTTAAATGTTTTGTCAGTCAGTTACAAATATAGAAAAAAAATTGAAACTAAACAGCGTTGGAAAAGAGAGTGTACCCTTGAATGTTGGATTTAAAAAAATAATTACAAACATTATCTAAATGTTACAAGGCTGAAGAGAGTCACTGAAACAATGCCGATCTAAGGTCCAAAATACAATATTGATAACCGTATATCATATATAAGGGTTTCTTGTCTGTTTCAAGCATGGTTGTATCAGCACTTTAGTTATTGTGAGTATTACACTAACCATATGTCCCTGAACAAATGTATCTACAACACAAGGAACATGAATGGAATTTGGAATGTCCCCAACAAACAAATCTTTCTGGTTACTTTACAATAAATCAGAAAAATCAATACAAGTCAATAATAAACAACACGTAAAGGTGGACATTAATTATCATATAATGAGCCAGACTAGTATTTCATAACCATATTGTAGTGTAAAGTGATGGTATGGTGACTAAATGGGTGATGATGGTATGGTGTAAACAGGTGTGATGGTCAGGTAAGTGACTGAGTAAGGTACAGAAACATTATCACATGATAGTAATGATTAGCTCTGGCTGATGTCTCCAGAATGAACCAACCATTCTGTAGTCAGGGAAACACTATAGCATGTTTTAGAGAAAGAACTTTGTTGTTTCTTCAACAGTTTTTTACCAGAAAGAGCTACCTATATTCTAGGGTTCAATCACTACTCTTGTGCTAGGAGCATCACCACTCAATGACTTTGTCCTGTTTTTCCTTGATCCCCACATGGAATATTCTGCTATGATGTGTAATGGAAGGTGCTGGTTTCAGAGGAACTACCGTCAGCATGAGAAGGGAAAGATTGTCATCTATACAACCAGTATGTGCGTGGTGCGCGACACGTGGGAGAAGTGCAAGGTGGTGCGGAACATCCTGCAGACACACATGATGCGCTACGAGGAACGGGACCTCTATATGAGTCGGGACCACCAGAGGGAGCTGCAGGAAAGGCTCGGTACCGACCAAATCAATGTGCCGCATGTCTTCGCTGATGGGATTCACTTAGGTGTAAGTAGTTGAGAGGATAACACTGTAAAGCATATATGTATAACAATAAAGCATAGCATGGGACTGTCCAACATTTATTACAGCTGAAATTACATTATAAAATAATGTCAGCACAAAAGCATAAATGTAACAAAATAGATGTTGCAGGATGTTATGTAATTAGCATAGTTTAAGTAAAACCACAGCATTTGCGTTTACTACACCCGGAACCTTTAAGTGACATTACTATCTGAACCCTTGAGCACCATTCACTACTTGAAACCTTGGATGCCTGTTACAATCTGAATCCTTCAGTATCTGTGGGGCAACTTTAATTATATGGCATTATATTGACCACAATGATGGTTTTCTATGCAATGGCAGAAATACTACTGTACCATCTACAAATTGTGAGAGGACTGAAATGACCTTTTCTGTGCTGACCCAGTTTGAACAGCCAACTATTGAGTGAATGTCATATTGAACTACGCAGGTTGTATAATACATATACACATGCTGTGAGTGCTATTTTCTCATATTAGCTGCACAAAGATGGTATACAGTGAATTGTACGTACATCAACTGACATGGCAGTCTGTGTACCTTCTGTATATCTGTACTACTGCCGCTGTTCAGCAGCTCCTTGTCAGGCCGTCTTAACAACGTCACGATATAGATCCAGGTGCTGACAAGTCTGTGGCAGGACGAGCTACTGAATAGCTGCAGATAGTAAAGGTGGCTCACGTAGTAGTATCTTACATACTAAAGGGTTAAGGTTCAGATAGTGAAGGGTTGCAAGGGTTCAGATGGTAACAGGTGCTCAAGGGTTCAGATAGTGAAGGGTTGCAAGAGTTCAGATGGTAACGGGAGCTGAAGGGTTCAGATAGTGAAGTGTTGCAGGGTTCAGATGGTAACGGGTGCTCAAGGGTTCAGATAGTGAATGGTTGCAAGAGTTCAGATGGTAACAGGTGCTCAAAGGTTCGGATAGTGAAGGTTGCAAGAGTTCAGATCATAACGGGTGCTCAAGGGTTCAGATGGTAAAGGGTTGTTGCAAGAGTTCAGATGGTAACAGGTGCTCAAGGGTTCAGATAGTAAGGAGTTGCAAGAGTTCAGATTGTTACGGGTGCTCAAGGGTTCAGATGGTAAAGGGTTGTTGCAAGAGTTCAGATGGTAACAGGTGCTCAAGGGTTCAGATAGTGAAGAGTTGCAAGAGTTCAGATTGTAACGGGAGCTCAAGGGTTCAGATAGTGTGCAAGAGTTCAGATGGTAACAGGTGCTCAAAGGTTCAGATAAAGAAGGGCTCCCATGAATGAAGCTTCATCCTACACAGTTTACATAGGTACATCAGCTTATATATGTGTGAGAGATGTGTTTTGTAAGCGGAGGACCTGCCAGTGTTGGAGGAGTGCTTCTCCTGTATTTAAGATAGACTCCATGCAGATCTTAGATGGGAGGTCAAGTCCTGTATAAACACCTATCCTCAACTGTAGACATGCACTGTCATTAGGCTGACACCATCTCCTGGGTTTATACACTCATGAATGTTCATCTGCCGTCAATCAGCTGATCTGGGGTCAGTGCATGTCGTCACAGGTAACCAAGAGCTGATTGTTGAAGAAGGAAGTTAGACTGACGGATATGGGATGGTCGTGTATTATATCTTATACCAGCAGAAATAATAATTAGTAATAGAGAGTTGACATTTTAGGTTATAATGATGAAAGACAGGAATGAGAAAACTATCTGAAGTGAGAGAGATGGGAATGGGATGGGAGTCAGGTGAGAGAGGGAGGTGGGGTCAGGTTGTTGAGGTGGGAGTCAGGTGAGAGAGAGGGAGGTGGGGTCAGGTTGTTGAAGTGGGAGAGAGGGAGGTGGGGTCAGGTTGTTGAGGTGGGAGTCAGGTGAGAGAGAGGGAGGAGGGGGGTCAGGTTGTTTAGGTGGGGAGAGAGAGGGAGGTGGGGTCAGGTTGTTTAGGTGGGGTCAGGTGAGAGAGGGGGAGGTGGGGTCAGGTTGTTGAGGTGGGAGTCAGGTGGGAGAGAGGGAGGTGGGGTCAGGTTGTTGAGGTGGGAGAGGAGGAGTGGTGTCAGGTGGTTGAGGGTGGAAGGTGAGAGAAGGTAGGGTTGAATCCTTCCTAAAGTTCAAGCAAAATCTTTTACAGGTCTTTGGATTATGTATGAGTGAAATATGACTGTTTATTAATTTCTGCGAGCTTCTCCTTTGAGAAGACATTTTTTTATGTTGTGAACATCGGATCCGCCACATTGTCCTGTGTATGTCAGAGGTTGCCATGCCCTTGCTATGCCCTGCTATTCCCTGCTATGCCCTAGGTATGCCCTGTATGTTGACATAGCAGCTCCTGCAGCAACAAGCATGCATGTAGGGAATCCTTGAACATACAACATGCAGACATGGAATCCCGTTGTCGCTGTTCCTGATGCTGCCCTCAGGGACGCACACAGAAATACACATCTCAGAAATACAGATGTCCGTTAAGTTGATTTGTGGCTTTTGAAAAGAAATGAAAGAAGACAATAAACAAGCAATTGTTTTATTTTTGTTGAAATCGTATCTTTATTTTTAAATCTAATTATTCTGTTTCTCCAGGATTCAAACGAGTTCCAGACCCTGAACGAGACAGGGGAGCTGCGCGACATCTTTGAGAATTTTCCTGTGAGTGACACATTTCCGCTGTGACATGAGATCAGCAACAATTGCAATGAACATGACATCTCAAATAACAAAGAAAAGACAATAACATATTAACAAGTGCATAGATAAAATTCTCAACCCAAAATGGTTTAAATATTTATTGAAAATTTTGGAACTGGTTAAAGTCAAATTATTTTCTTGGTTCCATAAGTAAACACAATCTCATGCTGTTTTATTCATTTGGGTTTTGGGGTCATGATATGCCACCTCATCACAAAACTACTTTATCAAAAAACTACTTTATCATTGAAGGACTTCATCATTCAAAATACTGAAATGTTGAGGTGCAAAAAAGTATCCTCATTATCTGAATGAGCCATTTCACCAAGGTATTGTTTATATAGACGCATGTGCAATTTTTTGTTTAAGTTTTTTGACCAATTGAAAAAAAACCATTTCAACCTTGAATAATGATATACTTTTCTCCTCTCAGAAAATCAGTGTGAGATCGTCGTGTGGGAAGTGTGGAGGTTATCGCTTTGTTCCCTGTAGTCACTGTCATGGAAGTAAAAAGTCGCTACATCGGAATCACTTCACGGAAGAGTTCCATGCCCTTCGCTGTATGCAGTGTGATGAGAGTGGCTTGCAGAGGTGTGACATGTGCCTAGACCAACAAGAGTAGTCTCCCTTTACCTGACCCTTCATGAAACAAAGGTCTCACAGAACTGGAGAAATTGCCTCGGCACTCTGCTCAAGTCGGGGAATGTGCTGATTTACTGGACACTGAACATAAAACAATTGTTTGATCATCCATACTGGTACATTCCAAACTATGTTTAAAATTTGTTTGGGTGTATTTTTTCCATCTTCAGAATGTATTTTGTAGTCTTGCCACTGGACAATATAGGATCTAAAGAAGACTACAAAAAGCATCCTTAGTCAATACCATTACTTGTCTATATGTGATTTTGACATCAGTATGAGTTGAAAGTCCTTAGCTTTAAAAGAATATAATGTTTGTGACTGATGTGCCTTTGTTTCTGACTGAGAAATGTGATGGATTTAACTGTATTCTTGTAAGGCCACACCATGTATTTCATTTCCCTGCAGACAAATTCTTTTGTTTGGGATTGAACTGGTTACTATAGCTACTGAATTACCTCCCTTGCCTAAATAAGGATGAAATATTTGGGGGCTAATAGACTATGTTTATAGAGGATTGTTTGAAGTTAAAATGAAATTTTGTGGTACAATTTTTGTATGTTATTTTAGGTTTTCAACACAATGGTATTGCTTTGTAACATTTATACCACGTCATATCATGGATGCTAACAATATCAAGTGTCCATCAGAGGAATTCCTGGTCTGTCTGAAAGTCAGGTCACCTGTGAAATCTACTGATTCTGCCAAAAAAACTCCACAGAAAACAAAAATATTGAATATAATTGCCTCTAACCCAAGGAATTCTGCTGTCTCAGTGAGGGAGTATTAGGGTGGGAGTGAAGGGGTGGGGGTGAAGGGGTGGGGTGGGCTAGAGAGTGGAGGGGAGGGAGTTGGGGTTTGAATGATCAAAGTGATGAGTGGTTTGGTTCAATGTAAGAAGTGAGGGTATCAAAAGTGTTAGGGTGGGGGTGAAGGGGTTGGCGTGAAGGGGTGAAGGAGCGTTAGGGTGGGGGTGAAGGGGTGAAGGAGCGTTAGGGTTGGGGTGAAGGAGCGTTAGGGTGGGTGTGTAGTGGGGATGGAGTATTAGGGTTGGGGGAAGAGGTTAAGGAGGTATGGGTGAGTGAGTGAGTGATGAATGGTATGGGGAGAGTTTGAGGAATGGGGTGTAGGTGGGGTGGGATTAGAAGTGTAGGGGACGGGAGTATGGTGTCGAGGGGAGACAGTCAGAGAACCTCTAAGATCCTTGCACGGCAAGTCAATAGTACATACAGTATTTCTGTTCAAAACAGTGTTAAACCAAAGTGGCTCACTCACTCCTCTTGTGTCTCCTATTCCTGTCTGGTATTGCCAGACTCTCCAACATGGACCTGATGCTCTAATACTGACACTTCCTCATGTATGCACCCCGACTGTGACATCATGTTTTAATGATGACCCGGGACAAGTGACCTATCTGTGTACCTATCAGGGGGATATATAGCTATATATACCAGCTGTTATATTCCCTTAAATAACAACCACTTAAATCCCAACAGAGTGTCGAATATTGAGTTTATTTGGTAAGGTGTTAAAGATATCAGACAGTGTATCACACCTCCTTTGCCAAAACAAGACAAAGAATATCATCCCCATTCTGTGGGAGACGTCTGTGATCAGAGAGAGTCTTATTGCAATAGCCAAAGTATACTTTCATCCAATGTATTCCTCATTTATTGATGTGATGTATAAAATGTTATAAGGGACTGTTCATAATTTATGGCTAGGGGGTGATGATGGATTTTAAGGGGGGTCACCCATTTTGTTCTTGGGAGGTAGGGGGGTCATCAACTTTGTACACGTTTCTAGGGGGGTCAGCAATTTTCTTACTTTGTACATAAAGTTTAGGGGGGGTCATTCACATTGTACATGCTCCTCCATAAAATCATCATCAACAACCCCCCCGCCTTAAATTATGAACGGTCCCTGATGGGGGAGAAAGAAATTGATTGATCTGCCTGAAAGATGCTCACTCATGCTCACTTATCAATGTTGAACAATTTAGATTAGAAACTATATAAGTATTTCAGAAATCAAAACAGTTGTGTTTCCCCTCCTCCTTACCAACATTAACATATTTACATATGTGTAAATTCAGTTCAATGGTTAGTCTATTCTTGCCATTTTGTTTCAAGACATCAATTCAATGACACATAAATTTGTCTGGGCAGGGTATATTTTTCATCATATATATATATATGCATATACATTTTAATCAAGACAATAAATTTCATCAAAAACTTTCCATTCAAATTACTTCTGTCTACCTCCGTTCAGAATATTTAGAATATTATCCCCCCGCTTTTGATAAGATCTTTTCTCTTTCAAAAAGCGATACACAAAGATGACTGGCATCATGTGTCAAGTGTAAATATCTCACACAGCTGATAATCCCTATCAAAGTTGAGTAACATATGTACTGATCGAATTCTCTTCTTTACAATCCATGTGATATATGCTGATTGTGTCAAGAGTACAGTCAGTTTTCAATCATGTCCGTGAATCTCTCTGTCTGATAACAGTTTATTGCCATTGAAAACCAACATTCATACATTCCAGGAGCATGGTTTCACAGTGATATCTGCCTGCACCATTTTTCAATGTCTGGAGAATCGACAGTTTTGTTGTATTTTGTTTTGTCTTTATTTTCCTTAATCTTTTATTCATTTTTTTGTGGTCTAAATTTTTTGTGATGTTTTTGTTCAGCTTTGTTGTGTCTGATGGAACCTTATGTCTGCAGTTGTATCCCAGTTCCTGCCAGCGTTAGTTTGTAATAGTGTCTTTGTTTGTTGTTCAACACAACACTCAGCAACATTCCAGCTATATTACAGCAGCCTGTAAATAACCCTGAACCATACAATCCAGTGATCTGTATTGTGAGCAACAACCCATGTTGCCGAAGTACAAGGACACATTGTCCACCAAAACACTGAGTCTGGCCACCAAGTCAATGACCCAGGACATTGAGGGCAGTTTATTTGGGGGAATCTCTTCACCGAGTCTGTTAGAGACAGGTGGCACCAGTTCAACCATCACAGATGCACATTGGGATGTAATCAACTGGATTTATTTCAAAACATCTTCACTAGTTATACTCAAAAGAGTTTTTTTTAATTTAAAAAATAATAAAATATGTCCAATATCATGTTTCATTCATACTATTTTTAATATATTTTGGATGTCAAAAATATTTGTAATGAATTTGTGATTATTGAAACTAATATCCAGCAACACTGTTTCCATGGTGAATTGTATGACTTGCTTAACTACAGCTGTGCTGTGATGTGGCACCTGGTTTATGATTGTGGATATGTACATAAATGTCCATCATCATGCTATCAATGTCCATCATCATGCTATCAATGTCCATCAAGATGCTATCAATGTCCATCATCATGCTATCAATGTCCTTCAAGATGCTATCAATGTCCTTCAAGATGCTGTGAATGTTTGACAGATGAGTGAATGAAAGTATTCTCTTGTACATACCTGGTAATGATGAATTGTTCCCTCTGCCATTTATTGATGCCATGTTGCCATGGCAACACTATGGCGCTGCAAGCAGATATCTCTGGGGCGTTTCCCAGCTGGTTCAATATACATGATATCCTCCTGCTGCCCAGGGAATATTAATGTAAAACTGCAGACAGATCATGTGCATGGGTGTATTTATTGTGGAAATCGTTTTGTGCCAATTGTTGTCATAAATTGAACGTTATAATAAATTGCCTGTAAAGACACGAAGACACGTTTTATTCATTTTTTAATATATTTTATTAATATGACGACTGCTCGGAGACTGGAGAGCACCCGGACATTGTGAGACACAATACACCAACAAACAGCAACCCCAACTAATTTCATCCCATTACAAACTGCTTCTAATTTCATCCAATAACAAACTGCTTCCTGTTGCTATATATTGGGTTGGGTGTACTTGTCAATATGCCTCAAGTATTTCAGTAAAGTAACGGTATTTATTTCAGATTTGGGGTACTGAAGTCCAAACTTTTATTGTATTCTTTTTTTGTTTTCAAAATAGGGGACCCCATCCCCTGCAAAGTTTTATTCCCTCTAGAGAGCCCAATTTGAAATTAATGTAGGTCCTTAGGCCCAAAGCCGACTAAAACCACTCGGACCCACAGCTTTTATTTTCTGCAGGTCCTTATGGCCAACAGCTTTTTCATCCCCAATAACTACGAGTATTATTTCCATATTGAAATATAGGGCCTACACATTCTGATCAGGACCCACAACTTTTTATTGTTCTGGGTCCTTAGATCCTGAGGCTTTTCATGGTTTAGGGCAAACACTGCTTCCATCTGATAGACCCTGGGCATTGGCGATGGACTTCTCAGTGCTGAAGGTGGGCAAATGCGATTTTGTGTTTGTCACATGCATCCACTCCAGGTCATACAGGGCAATGTCAAGATCACACCAGCTCACTTCTTTCCTTATCATGTATCAAGTAGGCCTGCAACCAGTGCATGTACACGTACCTGATAGAGGAGGGGCTGAAGGTTGGGGAATTCACTCTTGACCGAAGAAAAAGGAAAAAATGTTTGTAATTGATCTACACAGAACTGTGTGAAAAAGTTATAACTTCACTTTGTTTTAATGTTTTTGCTTGTGTCGGTATTATTGCTGTGATTTACCGATCAATACATTGCTTTGAAGTCAACTCTGTGTGGAGCTGACATGCAATATATATGCTTATGTGACGTATTACTGTTAATGTAAGACGTGCATCGTATCAATCATTCTCGGGCGTTGGATTGTTGTACAACTTATTGTTTGATCTGTAAACAGTTTGACAGGAAAGGTTAGGTTATATATGACTCAACTATCAAAAGGGATATTTTTTTATCTTTTCATGTAACATTAGAGTAAATGTCACAATGAACATGAAATGTTGGCAACGTCGTAACTGGGTCGATATCGATGGTAGGTGGCAACACACACACAATGGAAGTACTTTAGGGACCGTTCATAACTTATGGCAAGGGAGGGGAAGGGGATGATGCTTATGGGGGTCACCCATTTTGGTCTATGGATGTAGGTGGGTCAGCAAATTTGTACATAAGAATATTAAACAATTATGGGCAGGGGGTTGGAGTGGGGGGAGCATTGATTTTATACATGCCATGCAGGGGGATGTAACTCACTTTGTACATAAATTTCCAGGGAAGTCATTCACATTGTACATGCTTCTCCATAACAATCATCATGAACTAAACCCCCCCAGCCATAAAATATGAACTGTCCCTTACGTTATTTATGGGAAACTAATAACATAAAACCAGGTGTGTATTTTCTTTTGTACATCAGTTTATTAGACATATATAACCCGAAGTGATTTTTTGATTTATGCATTTTAAATGAATCACTGATTTGAGTTCTATGGAGAAGATAAGAATTTCTACTGTATTTATGTAGATATGATGCGGAGAATTTATCATCTAGAACTTTTGCTCCTTGGTGTCTGGATTAACAGGGTGTGGGATGCCAAGGTTTAACTGTACACAGTTTAACTGTTCACATAACACTAATCTGTGATCAGATAAATGATCCAGGAGAGTGGGAATGTACAGGTGTGGTTGTACTGTGCGCTGTCAGCAGGACATTCATATGGTAAACAAACAGTCCTAGGATAGCAAAAGTTTGCAAGAGTTGTCTCCCTTATATCACATGCGCCTAGAGACTTGGGATTCCTTGTGATACGAAATAGACTGCAGCACGTGATGATGTACTGTTTGTACTATGTGTTTACAAACTGTGTTGCAATATTGTGTTGATGAAAGTTTCTCTTGCAGTCTTGTGTTGATAAAATGTGTTGCAATGTCGGTTGTGCCAACTCACTGTATTGTTGATGCAGTTGTTGTTGTTGATGTAGGTGTTGTGTTGTTGATGTAGGTGTTGTGTTGTTGATGAAGGTGTCGTGTTGTTGATGCAGGTGTCGTGTTGTTGATGCAGGTGTTGTGTTGTTGATGCAGGTGTTGTGTTGTTGATGCAGGTGTTGTGTTGTTGATGCAGGTGTTGTGTTGTTAATGCAGGTGTTGTGTTGTTGATGTAGGTGTGGTGTTGTTGATGCAGGTGTTGTGTTGTTGATGTAGGCGTCGTATTGTTGATGCAGGTGTTGTGTTGTTGATGCAGGTGTTGTGTTGTTGATGTAGGTGTTGTGTTGTTGATGCAGGTGTTGTGTTGTTGATGCAGGTGTTGTGTTGTTGATGGAGGTGTTGTGTTGTTGATGCAGGTGCTGTTTGGTGGTGGACGCTGTGTGTGAACGGTTATTGTTACTGTTTTCTAGCTTGTGCTCAATATTTTTCCAATAGACATTCCTTTTTTGTGTCACAGTTCCCAAGATTCTGTCTGATTTAGTCTGTGATACCAGTCACACTGAAACTATGGACACTCATGATCATTATTATGTTGGGATTCAAACCCAGGCCTTATACTGCACTTGCCTACACTCTCATCCATCTCACGTGAGGTAAGGTGAAATTGGGTTTAACGTCGTACTTGAGAATATTTCGCTCATATGACGACGTGCATGCGTGTGTATGTGGATGTGCGGCTGCTTGTACTAGCCAAGACTTAAGCTGGTTTAATAGTGCTAGCCCACTGAGATACCATGCCGCAGTGAAGCATGGATACCCCACTCAGACACATTATACTGACTCCGAGCCGACCAGTCCTTGTTGTACCCATTAATGCCGAACGCCAGGCAGGGACCAACAAGTACCATATTTTAACGTCTTTTGGTATGACGCGGTCGGGGATCGAACCCGCGACCTTCCGCTCTCCGGGTGGATGCTCTAACCACTACACCACGGAGGCGGTACGTGTCTGGAGTGAGTGAGTGAATTGGGTTTAACATCAGTTTTAACAGTATTCCCTTTATGTCATGCTGTGTCAGCACAATCCTTGAGGAATCCTGAAGTGATACAGGACCCTGGCGTTGATCAAACCTGGTGCAATCATGGGTCTGGTGCTGACACACCCGGACACAAACCAGGATTAACATCCACAAGCTTTGGTTTCTGCTATGTCCAAGGGATGCAACTCTGTATGGAAAATTGTGGCACTTCAGAAGACTGGGTTACTTTCTGTATATGCCCATGTGTTGCCGCCTCTTAATAGGATAGACTGGTAGTGAAACTAGACTTACACTGACACAACCAGCTGTACACTGGAGAAACTCTGTAACCTCAGTAACGAGGAGGTGGGGTAGCTGAGTGGTTAAGGTGTTTGCTCTTTAACTGGGTTCGATTCCCCACATGGGCACAATGTGTCAAGCCTATTTCTGGTGTCCCTGCTGTGATATTGCTGGAATATTGCTAAAAGCGGCGTAAAACTAAACTCACTCACTCACTCACCTCAGTAACAGATCCTTGTCATTTGAGAAACCTCTCATGCACTATTACTTCCCTATGTACACATAGGTTTACTTACCCTAGCTATTCCCATGACTGTTGATGGTCTGTGGAGTTGATCCCAAGACTATATATATCTCTCGCCTGATTATAGACATTGACTATGTAACACCATCATGGAAACAGTTCCACCAAATGATGACAAAACAAAACATTATCAATTGGTATTTATTATTGATTAAAAATGTTGTCTGAAGGCAGTACAGATGATCCGATACATCTGGGGCCTCCCCATGTGCCAGACTGTCTGTATGTGGTGATGGAGCGCCATCTGTAAACACCCTCTCCTGGATGGCATCGGCAGTGATGACAACATCATGCACACCTCACACACTCGAGACTTCTTCAGTGAGAGTCGCACTGTCCTCAACAGTTACCTATGTACAGTCAGGCTAAGAGTCTCCGTACTGGACTTCATTCACCATGATGTGAATGAAACGCAGGACTCGCGAGTCTCAGCTCCAACTCATTTACAATGGGATTAATTTGACAATGACATGATGTCCAAATATTTCAAGTTTTCAAACTTACAGTCCAGGAGTGGATGTTTACTTCAGGCTGTCACATGACAGTCACCATCAACAGTCACATCACCATATATAGAAGTCACATGATCATGCTGGTTACACAGTCACATGGCTGAACGAATGAACAACTGTTAGTCATGTAACTACAATTAGGTTAAAGGTCATACTACCACATTTGACCTAAGTAATAGTCATAAGGTTGATTGTATCACATGACTAAGTCAGGTGACACTATGACCATATTAGGCAGTCATGTGATCAGAATAAACAAGCATTAGCAACAACTATGAACAAGGTTAAAAGGAAGGGCTATGTACAAAGCTGTATGTTGCTACAAAGGCACCATATAGAGAGCTACTCTAGGGCATGTTGTAGGGGCACCTGCCATGCTTGTACACAACTGCTATACAGACAGACTCACAGATATACATACAGGAGACCATTACTGTATTGTTATTTTCAAGTTCTGTCTCCGCAGAACATAAGGCCAAATCCAAAATTAGTCAAAACATGGAACACTGGTCTTGACACAGATACATATGAATATTCATGAATCTAACGAGAAGATTGGTAACAGCAGGACAGAAATCAACAAAATAAATCAGAATATTAATTTAGCCAAAAGATCCAAACTTCAGAAGTTCAGGCAACCTGATGAAAGCACCACTCCTTGTTTGCTTGTGAGTGATGACACAATCTCCCAGTTCCATTAACCTCCTGTTATATTACATGGCTTCTGTAAAACACAACTCGGTTGTCTGACTAACAAGTGGGGATAACAATCGTGTGTATTTGCCAGACTGACAATGTTCAAACAACACTTATATAAAATACACCATAACATTGGTCCTTTGTCAAATAAAAACATACAACTGCTATGTACATTTGTACAGAGAATTCATATTTGTACAATAAGTCAATATGCAATGAGCAAAATGATTAAAAATTCAAAAGTTTTCAGCTAAAAATGATTTAATATAACAACTTAAAACTGATCTGCCACTTTCCTCAAAGTCAGAAGTTTTCTGCCATTGTCTTTCTGTAACAGGTGAAGAGAGATAGAAAGTACAGGTGTCTATGATGTGAGAACCATGGACAAGCTATGGCCTGTAACATGGAGTGGTATAGGCCTATGGCAGGACATATGAACACTTAGGACATGTGCAGGTACCGGGATGTATTGCTAGGACCTAGGACAATTTAGGCCATGAGTTGGTATGTGGACCTAGGATCAAGGACAATTTAGGCCATGAGTTGGTATGTGGACCTAGGACCTAGGACCTAGGATCGAGGACAATTTAGGCCATGAGTTGGTATGTGGACCTAGGATCGAGGACAATTTAGGCCATGAGTTGGTATGTGGACCTAGGATCGGGAACAATTTAGGCCATGAGTTGGTATGTGGACCTAGGATCGGGAACAATTTAGGCCATGAGTTGGTATGTGGGCCTAGGATCGGGAACAAGTTAGGCCCTGGACCTAGGACCAGGAACAAGTTAGGCCATGAGTTGGTATGTGGGCCTTGTCAGGTGATAGTTTAGGACATGTGCCAACCAGAGTCTGGTAAAAGACTGATATTCCTGTTTAACTCCCAAACATTTCCTATCTTTATGTGATACATTAGTGGTGATAAGTGGTGTTCACAGGATTGTTAGGGGCTGACAGTGGTTGGACATGACACCAGGTGTTCGGCTGATGCCATCCGTGAAGAGATATCCATCAATACATGCCCTGTGAATCATCAAAACAGCTTTACTACTCAGAGAAAGATACCCTGACACAGTACCTATAGTCAAGTGATAGAACTGGATAGCTGCTAAATATTTTGAGTGATGATATATAAATCATCTGAACATGACCCCAATCTTAGTTTTGGCATTGTGTGAAAATGAGTTATACATTGGTCATCCTGGTTCAAGCAGCACATTTAGAAAGGTGTTGGTGAAGATGATCACAGAGGAACCATTTGGGATGTGATAAAAATTGTCTACCGAAATCTCTCTTCCAGATTCACTCCTAGCCTTTCTTTTCTCAAATCCCTGAGAGGCACAGTTTAGAAACCACTCACTTCTATCAATAAACACTCACAGCATCATGAACAACACCATATACGACAACCACGTCACACTAGAAGGTGGAACATACGGGGATGTTGTGTTGATTAATCAGGTGGTGCCAGCTCTGGTACAGCTACCTCATGCTTCCTAGGGCTTGTAGCACTGTGGTTTCATGAAAACAAGAAAGAAATAGGACTCCCTTCAAAAGAACAATATTGTACACCTGACAAGAAAAAAAAGTTAAATATCTCAATGACTAAACCATGAGCTGTGCAAGTCCCTGTATACACTTCAACCTCTCTAATCCACACATCAGCAGTGATCTGTTCCATTAACTAAAAACCTGGTAAGATAATATAGAGAGAAAATATTGGAATGCTCATATCTTGTGAGCACTTACAGTTTTGTGATGCAATACAGGCAGATCTCAGGACACAGGGACTAGGATTCAATTCATACTTATCCCCATAACTAGCTATTGTGGCAGATTGTGACCCTGAACATCACCGCATAGTCCTATGGAATGTTTATAGAAATGGTGCCATGAGATACGAGTTGGTGCCATATGATCGTATGGTATATTATCATGTAGTAGAGTGAGTGAGTATGGTCAGTACTGAACCTGGGGTCCATGTGAGCAAACACTTTACAAGGTCACTACCCAAGCAGAACCACAAGTCTACAGTACGGAACTGAACCTGTCTCAGGTGCAGCAAGCTAACGCTTGCACTACTATGCTACCCACCAGTCCCCACAAGAGACGGGACATTGACAGCACTGAACCCTCAGGGCAGCATGGAAGCTATTTTGTACAACCTTGTTGCATTTGGCTTTACATCTTAACTACAGTGTTAAACATGCCATAGATATATATGTATATCTGATAAAGAGAACTAAACAGACAAGGTATAATATTATAGTACAATATGCAGGAAGTTGGCTCCAATGCTCTCAGTCCATGTAGCATGAAGATGGACACTGGCATTGTCATACCTTGTATTCATTCCTTATCAAGAGTAATACTTACAGTCTACATACATCTCATATCTGGAAATGCAAGTACAAAGCAGCAGAGAAAAGAATATAACAACATTTCAGCAATCTAACTCGGCAGTGATAAAACAGTGAGTACACAGATTAACATGCATGTCTTGTAGAAATCACCCCTCTATGCAATGTCTGGTGCTGTCTGGCTGGTAGTCCTCAAACACACTTGTCTCTCTTGCATTTATTCCTCAATGGAGTTGTCTCCCTTGTTCGTAATGCTTAATGCAGTTGTCTCCCTTGTTCATAATCTTTAATGCAGTCATCTCCTTGCCATTAATCCGTAACACAGTTGTCTCCCTTGGTCATAATTTCTAACACAGTTATCTCCCTTATTATTGATCCTTAGTTTTATCATTGTCTTTCAGCTCATTCTCATAGTCAGTGCAGTTATCAAGGACAGTTCACATTTAAGTGAAAACATTTTCAAATATTTTTCAATATCATTTCATTATTTATTAACTAATCACTATACCGATGCAGCAATTGACTATGACTAACTGAGTGTTTGTTTCACACGACTCTTGTTACATCAAAAATACAAAACTGAAATAACACAATGCTCCTAAAACAGCAACACAAACCCAACTTTGTCAAAACAATTACTGTAGCGCTAAACTTGAAACTAGGAAACAAATCATTTTGCTAACTTGACTTTTAGCCACACTTTCCATTCCATGCTTACAACCTAATACATATACCAGTTAAGGGCCTTATATGTACAACACATAGGCCCTCACCAGGATCCCCTGGAGATAGATACATGCATAACTTTGCAACCTGAATATCTACATTTTGTAAAGAATGTAAGATAAAAACTGAAACATAAAATAAAATCTGTCATTGGTATTTGTCTTGTAAACAAGAGATGCCATCAGTCAGCCTGAAGTCACCTACTGTCAGAATGTCTCTACACTATTGCCAACAGGATGGAGGGAAGTGAGGGAATATTGGAACGGAGGAATGTAGTGGTTGCCATTATTGTCATGGAAATAAATTACTACCAGAAACAAAGTAAATATAGTCACAGTATAAGAATTTCCACAAGATCAATTGGTCCATCATGGTCGTCTATTAAGAAGTATATTACAATCAGTTATGTATAAGTTGTACGCTATCTCACACCTTCTGCCAGTGGTGGTATGATATATCAGTGTTATACCACTATACCACCAGTGGTGGTATGATATATCAGCGTTATACCACCAGTGGAAGAATGGTATATCAACAGTACACCTGTATGTATTCACCAGCAGCAGAATATTAATATCCCAGAATATAGTCAGTATGGATGAACTCCTCATTTATCAGTTCTATAGAAAACAGTTGCCAGGCAACCTCAGTTAACTTGTAGTTTCTGGAAGCTCTTCACCATGTCCAGGACTTTGGGACGAGCGGTTGGAGGAGCTGTCTCGACACAAGTCTGCCTCGGGTGTTGAGGCAGCGGGCGGGCTCTTCTGCACAAACAGAACAAGAATATCACATAACCACACCAACATCAGCAGCAATATCACATATGATGACATTCAAAGATTATTTTGATTGGAACACGTTGCATCACCTGCTTCCTGGGGAGTATATAGTTATACATCAGTGATAACATTGCTTGCTGCTTTGATGTTTAACGCTCAACACTATTCCGCCTATAAGACTGGTGCCCTTAGGTAATCAAGTCTGGACCAGACAATCCTGTGATTGTTATTATGCTCCATGATGACAACCAGTTCACAAAGCCTGGCCACGCAGTCCATTATGTCATACGACCAGCATAGATTGATGTGGCCAATTGTAACTCTGAATCTAAACAGGTAACAATAATATAATATCTTTTAACAAAGTTGAAGGATCACTTCTATCAGACCATACTGTATTCTCTGTTTCTTGAGGAGCACACAATCACACATGAGTTAATATGAGAGGGGGATTTTCTCACCTTTCTCAAGACCACTTCTTGTTTGGGTTCCTTCTCGATGATCTCGATGGTAACCTTACTTGCAGGCTTGTTTATTCCACTCCGCCATGCTGGGACTGATTCCTTCTTATCACTGGAAGATTGGGCCGATTGCACAGGTGCCTTGTTTGCTGTCTTCACACTGGAAGACTTCCAGGCTGGGGTGGTGTCAGGTGTTGATGATGGGGTCTTCACTGACTGAACCCGACCGAAGTCTTTCTTGACTCCCTCAGTGGGAGAGACCTTAGAGTCTTTGCTCACCTCAGTCACACTTGAGCCTAGGTTCTTGATACTGTCTGGTTTGCTGGAAGAAGAAGGGGTCGTTGACGTGGCTGACCTACTCACAGAAGTTTGGGTCACACCTGGGGGCTTGGTCCAGCTGCTGCTAGACTGGGATATACTGTCCGACTTGCTGGAAGCCGTAGTGGTGACGCTACCAGACTTTACAGAAGTAGTGGAGGAGGTTGTAATGCTCCCAGTCTTGACACTCCCAAATCGTACAGGACCAGACTGAGGTTTAGAGTCAACCTTTGAAGGTATCTTAACACTCGCTGATCTGGAATTACTTATTGAAAATGACTCCTTCTTGTCTTCTGGTGATGTGGAAGAGTTGGATGCTGAGGAGAATGTAAGGGACTTGCTCATTTTGTCCCCACTCTTGTCATTGCCCTTTTCCTTGTTGTATCAATAGTTAGCACCTCCTTCTTCGGTTCAGTCTCATTAGTTTCTGTACTTTCAGCCGGCTTCCTGTTCCTAGCCAATGCCATCCATTCTGGCTGACCAGAAGGCTTTGTCTCATGCTGCTTTGGTTCAACCTTCCTGGACGATGGTGTGCCATATGTAGAATGCCTCTCTGGAGGACAATACCTGTTGCTGTGGGAACAACAGGTGCAGCATCTGCTCTCTGAGACTTTGCTCTTTGAACCTTAGATGAGAACTCATCCGGCAGTACTGGCTGCTCTGGCAGAGTCTTGCTCCTGCTCTGCCGCTTCTGTTTGTAGTCTTCCTTAGGTGATGGTGTCACACTTCCGACCTTGAACCCTACATCCTTCTTGAAACTCTCAGACTTCACTGAACTTGTGTCCGATTTATGATCATCCTCTTTATTTGAATCACCTGAAAGCTGTTTGGTGAGGGTGGGTTTGATTTCTCCACCAGCGGTCATGGCAGACTTCAATGGTGGTTTGTCTGCATTCACTGACCTCTGAACAGGCCTCACTTCCTCCACAGGTTTGCTCACAGCGGAGGGATCTTCATGTCTCTTTGCAACAGGTTTCAACTCCTCAACTTTAGATTGGTTTAAATGTTCCTGTTTGTGAACACTGTCTACACTTTCTGAAGCACTCCTATGACGTCCTGTCACAGTCACTGTCTTTGTCTCACTCAATTTCTCCTCCTTTTTCACAGAAAATGAAAACACTTCCGGTCCTGACTTCATGGCATCAGGTTTATCACCAGATTTTGGCAGTTCTTCAGATTCACTTTTCACAGGCTTACGCTTCAACTTATTGAAAGCATCCGACAATTCAGATTTCTTTTCAGCAGAAGGCTCCACCTTCTCCTTTATGTTAACAGAGGTGGACCTCCCTCGACTCACGTCCTGGTCGGAGGGTCGGACGGCAGAGGTCGGATCCTTCCTGACCTCCACCTTCACAGTCCCTGGTAGTGACTGTTTACGTACAGCATCACTCACTGGGCTGGTCACCCTAACAGTCGTAGCTGATGCATCACCAATAGGTTTGGTAGCTACAGATTTAGCTGATGCATCACCAGAAGGTTTGGTTGTTACAGCTTTAGCTGATGCATCAACAGAAGGTTTGGTCGTTACAGGTTTAGCTGATGCATCAACGGAAGGTTTGATAGCTACAGATTTAGCTGATGCATCACCAGGTTTGGTGGCGATAGGTTTAGCTGATGCATCAAATGAAGGTTTGGTAGCTACAGGCTTAGGAGGTAATTCTGTGGGCTTCAGTGATACAGTTGGTTTCTCTGAGGGCCCGGATGACACCTCCAATACAGTGGTGTCAGTTGGGATGTCAGCACCTTGTGTTGCAAATGCATTCTCCTCTGCCTGCAGCTTGGTAGGGGACTCTTCATTGAGACTTGGTAAACCCAGTGCTGACACAGCCTGGAATACAAACAAACATCATTAACATTGGACATCTAAATGTCACTGAGAGTCCAAAAGGTTTAAAAAAGTGAGGACAAATAACAAAGGACAACAGGGACATGTTACTGGGGACCATCTCTCAGCAGGACAAGTTACAAAGGACAATGGGGACACGTTACTGGGGACCATCTCTCAGCAGGACAAGTTACAAAGGACAATGGGGACACGTTACTGGGGACCATCTCTCAGCAGGACAAGTTACAAAGGACAATGGGGACACGTTACTGGGGACCATCTCTCAGCAGGACAAGTTACAAAGGACAATGGGGACACGCGTTACTGGGGACCATCTCTCAGCAGGACAAGTTACAAAGGACAATGGGGACACGTTACTGGGGACCATCTCTCAGCAGGACAAGTTACAAAGGACAATGGGGACACGTTACTGGGGACCATCTCTCAGCAGGACAAGTAACAAAGGACAATGGGGACACGTTACTGGGGACCATCACTCAGCAGGACAAGTTACAAAGGACAATGGGGACGTTACTGGGGACCATCTCTCAGCAGGACAAGTTACAAAGGACAATGGGGACACGTTACTGGGGACCATCACTCAGCAGGACAAGTTACAAAGGACAATGGGGACACGCTACTGGGGACCATCTCAGCAGGACAAGTTACAAAGGACAATGGGGACACGTTACTGGGGACCATCTCTCTCAGCAGGACAAGTTACAAAGGACAATGGGGACACGTTACTGGGGACCATCTCTCAGCAGGACAAGTTACAAAGGACAATGGGGACACGTTACTGGGGACCATCTCTCAGCAGGACAAGTAACAAAGGACAATGGGGACACGTTACTGGGGACCCATCTCAGCAGGACAAGTTACAAAGGACAATGGGGACACGTTACTGGGGACCATCTCAGCAGGACAAGTAACAAAGGACAATGGGGACACGTTACTGGGGACCATCTCTCAGCAGGACAAGTTACAAAGGACAATGGGGACACGTTACTGGGGACCATCTCTCAGCAGGACAAGTTACAAAGGACAATGGGGACACGTTACTGGGGACCATCTCTCAGCAGGACAAGTTACAAAGGACAATGGGGACACGTTACTGGGGACCATCTCTCAGCAGGACAAGTTACAAAGGACAATGGGGACACGTTACTGGGGACCATCTCTCAGCAGGACAAGTTACAAAGGACAATGGGGACACGTTACTGGGGACCATCTCTCAGCAGGACAAGTTACAAAGGACAATGGGGACACGTTACTGGGGACCATCTCTCAGCAGGACAAGTTACAAAGGACAATGGGGACACGTTACTGGGGACCATCTCTCAGCAGGACAAGTTACAAAAAGGACAATGGGGACACGTTACTGGGGACCATCTCTCAGCAGGACAAATAACAAAGGACAATGGGGACACGCGTTACTGGGGACCATCTCTCAGCAGGACAAGTTACAAAATGACAATGGGGACACGTTACTGGGGACCATCTCTCAGCAGGACAAGTAACAAAGGACAATGGGGACACGTTACTGGGGACCATCTCTCAGGACAGCAGGACAAGTTACAAAGGACAATGAGGGACACGTTACTGGGGACCATCTCTCAGCAGGACAAATAACAAAGGACAATGGGGACATGTTACTGGGGACCATCTCTCAGCAGGACAAGTTACAAAGGACAATGGGGACGTTACTGGGGACCATCTCTCAGCAGGACAAGTAACAAAGGACAATGGGGACACGTTACTGGGGACCATCTCTCAGCAGGACAAGTTACAAAGGACAATGGGGACACGTTACTGGGGACCATCTCTCAGCAGGACAAGTAACAAAGGACAATGGGGACACGTTACTGGGGACCATCTCTCAGCAGGACAAGTTACAAAGGACAATGGGGACACGTTACTGGGGACCATCTCTCAGCAGGACAAGTAACAAAGGACAATGGGGACACGTTACTGGGGACCATCTCTCAGCAGGACAAGTTACAAAGGACAATGGGGACACGTTACTGGGGACCATCTCTCAGCAGGACAAGTTACAAAGGACAATGGGGACACGTTACTGGGGACCATCTCTCAGCAGGACAAATAACAAAGGACAATGGGGACACGTTACTGGGGACCATCTCTCAGCAGGACAAGTTACAAAGGACAATGGGGACACGTTACTGGGGACCATCTCTCAGCAGGACAAGTAACTTAACATCAATATTCAGCATAAGATTCAACATTGCATATCTTACTGAAGATTATTTCCAATACAATGACAAGGAAAATCTTCACACACAAAAATACAAATAACTGTAGCATCACATGAAACCATATTGGACCTACATCTTTCTTCTTGCGGGACTGTCGGTTCTGCTTCCGAGGTTTCACAGATCGCTTGAATTTGGCAGCCTCATTGCTGAGCATGGGCGTCCTCTTGACAGCCTCCAGGTCCATTGATGTGGTTTTTGCTGTTGACAGTGAACGTGACAGTCAGAGGCTCCTCACATAGAGCAGAACAGCCATCACTGCCACAAGCGTTCATATGCATAGAAATATCCCAACTATTATCTTTTTAGAGCTATGGACACTAAACATTTCAAAGTAATAAAGTTCATTTGAAATCAATTGACATTATGAATGACATTATGAATATCATCGTCATCATCGTCATCATCATCATCATCATCATTATCATTATCATCATCATCACAGTTCAACTAACCAGGGGGTGGTGACTGGTCACTGCTCCTTCGAGGTTTCAATGGACTGTTCCACTTGGTCAAGAAAGGGTCATCCTGAAACATAACACATGTTACTGTATATCCCTCCATTTATCACAGCAGTACATACCACCCACAGTACAACATAGCTCATGCAACAATAGTCTCCCTATTGTATAGTACCTGCAGCAGCACACAAGCACCACATCTAATCCATGACGACACATACATGGCACATCAGCCATGAGTCTCATGACACTGAGACACACTAGTACAATACACAGGAGATACGAGATGTTATCACACATTATCAATACACTCAAGTGGAGAGCATGCTGCTCACTGCAGGCCACAAAACACCAATATAAAAAGGGATAAACACTCACTCACACAACATCATTATAACATTTCTGCTGAATGTTCACATAAATACGCTTACATGCGTCCTCCATGTGTGACGGAACAACTCCAAGGAGAATATTCTTGGTTCTACCCATCAGCTTATGACATTTATCACCCAGTAATCACAGTGCTCAGTGACAGAGTGGGACACTGTTGCCAGTTGCTGGTGTGTTATGACATTTCTACACCAGCACATCTCACCTCTGGAGTTGACGCAGCTGCAGCCAATGCCAGGAACACTGTGGGTGCTAATTGTCAGCCACCATTATTAGGTAAGTCTGGAGATAATGTCCGCGTATACTTACCCCTTCATTATCAGAGCTGTCAACACTAATGAGACTCTTCTCACTCTCCCTGCTGCTTGACTTGCCCGGCACCGGCTGGGGAGCAAAACATTCACTTCAGAAACATAATGTATCTCATATTGTGTCATACCCATGCTCTACATATTGCCATATCATATTGCTGCGTTTTACATTCGCTTTTAGAAATATTCCACCAATATCATGGAAGGGGACAATTGAAACGGGCTACACACAATTTACCCATGTGGGAGTCAAACCCGGGTTTTCAGTGTGACAAGCTTACGCTTCAACCACTGGGCTAACCCACCGCCCCTTATCATTGAGAAGAGGTCATACATGTGTCTTCAGCTGCAAAACACAGACAAGAAAAGATGTCCAACATCAGTTTTGGACATTACGATAGAAGCAACAAGTTAGTTGGAAGGTCACTTATAGAACCATTTTAATGTTCCCTTGAATCAACAAAATATTCTTGGCTAATATGAGCCATGACAAATAGGCCCTAAATGTCATATTTATTCTGGCTAATCAGGAAAATTATATAAGCCTGTTTGTAAAGGTCAAGGTCAAGGCCGTGACAGTGTGCAGGAACACTGACGTTAATCTCTTCATAACTGTAGTGTTGTTTGGTTGAGCAAATATGGGAACCTGAAGGTTGCAGCCATCTTGGTGAGACAACTGATAAATCTTGAAGATAAAGTTTTGTCAATGTTGACATCCTGTTTCTCATTAACTAACAATTTAAGCTGTTAACTGATATGGTTCATCCCACTGTGTCTTCATGTCTAAACTTACACTCACAGGTGTCCTACGACACACAGGTGTCCTCCAACAAGAGGACCATCCTACACAATTACATACTTGAAAATGTTCAAAGGATGTGTTCCATCTTTACGTCCAGAGACTCAAACAAACAATCTGTAATACATCTGCATCACATGGAACTAAAAACGACTTGACAACTCTAACAGAACCCTAAACTTTTCAAAACTTATTTTTGACAAAGCACCTTATAATAAATGCAAGGGATTGGTGATAACAATTTGATAGCTCTTGCAAGACACTCTGAATTATTTCCAAACCCATGTTTGACACAGCACCTTTTATATTAATGGAGAGATTTCCATAACAGCAATTCCACCAGGTCATCATGAGTTCTTCTTCACAATATATACTACTCAATGTTCGATAGGGCTATTCTGTACAGAATACACAAATTGATTAATGATAATTTGGAAGCTATTGGCCTTGAAAGGTTCAGTATACGTAAGTATGCAGATCCAGCATTCAACAGAAATACTAGGGTGTTATAATTCTCTATTCCTGAACAATAAGTAATCTTCTATAAGCTGCATGTGTGGTGTTGAGATGCCTAAGGACGCTGACATGTAGGTTTCTAGTGTCATGGAAACAGACTCACCTTTAGAGGTCCTCCAAGGATGTCTGCCGTTGTCATGGGCGGCACGAGGGCTCTGCGGCAAGCCGTCATCATCATCGGAATACTGTGAGTGTCGCTTCTTCAACTTGCTGAACAACTCGTTCTGCAACACAACAATCACATGTTGAGGCATCAAGTATGACGGGGTGCAGGCGACATGAATAACGTGTTCTCCTACAGCCAGACGCTGGTCTCCATAGTCTGTGAAGCACAGACAGGAGGTGACCAGATGAATGAATGGGCAGCACACAGGTAGCCTGTAAAGCTCACAGGTTTCTGGAGGGGGGCTCTCTGTTGGCTTTTGATAAGACCTGGAGTTGAAAACTATTATCATAGCTTTCTGACACACCTAAGGGACTGCACAATCATGGTACATCATGATCATCAACATAAGAGAGTTGTTTCAAACTAAAGATCTGTACATCTGAATTACTTCCAATTAAATCTCAACAGTCAAGAGCAAAACAATTGCCCCAAACAAGTTTTGAGAACTAAATATTACCTGAAAGTTTTCTCATATGTTCATAAGTGCAAACATAATAGCACTACAGCGATACACTAGGACACAACAGTCATCACTACAGTCCTACACTAGGACACAACAGTCACCAGTACAGTCCTACACTAGGACACTACAGCCACCACTACAGCCCTACACTAGGACACTACAGTCACCACTACGGTGCTACACTAGGACACTACAGCCACCACTACAGCCCTACACTAGGACACTACAGTCACCACTACAGCGCTACACTAGGACACAACAGCCACCACTACAGCCCTACACTAGGACACAACAGCCACCACTACAGCCCTACAGTAGGACACAATAGTCACCACTACAGCACTACACTAGGACACAACAGCCACCACTACAGCCCTACAGTAGGACACAATAGTCACCACTACAGCGCTACACTAGGACACTACAGTCACCACTACAGCGCTACACTAGGACACAACAATCATCACTACAGTCCTACACTAGGAGACTACAGCCCTACACTAGGACACTACAGTCACCACTACATCCCTACACTAGGACACAACAGCCACCACTACAGCCCTACACTAGGACACAACAGCCACCACCACAGTCCTACACTAGGACACTACAGCCACCACTACAGCACTACACTAGGACACAACAGCCACCACTACAGCCCTACACTAGGACACAACAGTCACCACTACAGCCCTACACTAGGACACAATAGTCACCACTACAGTAGCTACACACTGGGACACAACAGCCACCACTACAGCCCTACACTAGGACACAATAGTCACCACTACAGCGCTACACTAGGACACAACAGTCACCACTACAGCCCTACACTAGGACACAATAGTCACCACTACAGCCCTACACTAGGACACAACAGCCACCACTACAGCCCTACACTAGGACACTACAGCCCTACACTAGGACACTACACCACTACAGACCTAGGACACACAACAGTCACCACTACAGCCCTACACTAGGACACAACAGCCACCACTACAGCCCTACACTAGGACACTACAGTCACCACTACAGCCCTACACTAGGACACTACAGCCCTACACTAGGACACTACAGCGCTACACTAGGACACAACAGCCACCACTACAGCCCTACACTAGGACACAACAGTCACCACACCACTACACAGCCCTACACTGGGTCACACTACACCTACACTGGGACACAACAGTCACCACTACACTACACTACACTACAGTCACCACTACAGCCCTACACTAGGACACTTCACAGTCACCACTACAGCCCTACACTAGGACACAACAGTCACCACTACAGCCCTACACTAGGCTACACACACTACAGTCACCACTACAGCCCTACACTAGGACACAATGTCACCACTACAGCCCTACACTGGGACACAACAGTCACCACTACAGCCCTACACTAGGACACAACAGTCACCACTACAGCCCTACACTACACTAGGACACTACAGCCACCACTACAGCCCTACACTAGGACACAACAGTCACCACTACAGCCCTACACTAGGACACACAGTCACCACTACAGCCCTACACTGGGTCACCACTACAGCCCTACACCACTAGGCACCCTACACTAGGACACTACAGTCAGCCACACTACAGCCCTACACTAGGACACAGTCACAGTCACCACTACAGCCCTACACTAGGCCACAACAGCCACCACTACAGCCCTACACACTAGGACAACAGCCACCACTACAGCCCTACACTAGGACACAACAGTCACCACTACAGCCCTACACTAGGACACAACAGTCACCACTACAGCCCTACACTAGGACACTCAACAGTCACCACTACAGCCCTACACTAGGACACAACAGTCACCACTACAGCCCTACAGCCCTACACTAGGACACAACACACACTACAGTCACCACTACAGCCCTACACTAGGACACACAGTCACCACTACCACTACACTGGGACACAACAGTCACCACCACAGCCCTACACTGGGACACTACAGTCCACCACTACAGCCCTACACTAGGACACAACAGTCACCACTACAGCCCTACACTAGGACACACAGTCACCACTACAGCCCACCACTACAGCCCTACACTAGGACACTACAGTCACCACTACAGCCCTACACTAGGACACTACAGTCACCACTACAGCCCTACACTAGGACACTACAGTCACCACTACAGCCCTACACTAGGACACTACCACCACACTGGGACACTACACTACTAGCCACCACTACAGCCTACACTAGGGGACACCACAGTCACCACTACAGCCCTACACTAGGACACTACAGCCACCACTACAGCCCTACACTAGGACACTACAGTCACCACTACAGCCCTACACTAGGACACTACAGTCACCACTACAGCCCTACACTAGGACACAACAGTCACCACTACAGCCCTACACTAGGACACAGTCACCACTACAGCCCTACACTAGGGCCACTCTCACTACAGCCCTACACTAGGACACTACAGACACCACAGCCCTACACTAGGACACTACAGTCACCACTACAGCCTCTACACAGGCCCTACACTAGGACACTACAGTCACCACTACAGCCCTACACTAGGACACAACAGTCACTACAGTCACACTACAGCCCTACACTGGGACTAGTCACCACTACAGCCCTACACTGGGACACAACAGTCACCACTACAGCCCTACACTAGGACACAACAGCCCTACACTAGGACACTACAGCCCTACACTAGGACACTACAGTCACCACTACAGCCCTACACTAGGACACAACAGTCACCACTACAGCCCTACACTAGGACACAACACCACCCTACACTAGGACACCACTACACCACTACAGCCCTACACTAGGACACAACAGTCACCACTACAGCCCTACACTAGGACACTACAGCCACCACTACAGCCCTACACTAGGACACTACAGTCACCACTACAGCCCTACACTAGGACACTACAGTCACCACTACAGCCCTACACTAGGACACTACAGTCACCACTACAGCCCTACACTAGGACACAACAGCCACCACTACAGCCCTACACTAGGACACTACAGTCACCACTACAGCCCTACACTAGGACACTACAGTCACCACTACAGCCCTACACTAGGACACAACAGTCACCACTACAGCCCTACACTAGGACACTACAGTCACCACTACAGCCCTACACTAGGACACAACAGCCACCACTACAGCCCTACACTAGGACACTACAGTCACCACTACAGCCCTACACTAGGACACAACAGTCACCACTACAGCCCTACACTAGGACACAACAGTCACCACTACAGCCCTACACTAGGACACCTACACAGCCACAGTCACCACTACAGCCCTACACTAGGACACAACAGTCACCACTACAGCCCTACACTAGGACACTACAGTCACCACTACAGCCCTACACTAGGACACAACAGTCACCACTACAGCCCTACACTAGGACACTACAGTCACCACTACAGCCCTACACTAGGACACTACAGCCCTACACTAGGACACTACAGCCCTACACTAGGACACTACAGTCACCACTACAGCCCTACACTAGACACCACACACTACAGCCCTACACTAGGACACAACAGTCACCACTACAGCCCTACACTAGGACACAACAGTCACCACTACAGCCCTACACTAGGACACTACAGTCACCACTACAGCCCTACACTAGGACACTACAGTCACCACTACAGCCCTACACTAGGACACTACAGCCACCACTACAGCCCTACACTAGGACACTACAGTCACCACTACAGCCCTACACTAGGACACTACAGTCACCACTACAGCCCTACACCCCACACTAGTCACCACTACAGCCCTACACTAGGACACACAGTCACCACTACAGCCCTACACTAGGACACAACAGCCACCACTACAGCCCTACACTAGGACACTACAGTCACCACTACAGCCCTACACTAGGACACTACAGTACACCACTACAGCCCTACACTAGGCCACAACAGTCACCACTACAGCCCTACACTAGGACACTACAGCCACCACTACAGCCCTACACTAGGACACTACAGCCACCACTACAGCCCTACACTAGGACACAGCCACCACTACAGCCCTACACTAGGACACTACAGCCCTACACTAGGACACTGGGACACTAGGACACCACCACTACAGCCCTACACTAGGGACACACAGTCACACTACAGCCCTACACTAGGACACTACAGCCACCACTCACAGCCCTACACTAGGACACACAGTCACCACTACAGCCCTACACTAGGACACTACAGACACTACAGCCCTACACTAGGACACAACAGTCACCACTACAGCCCTACTACACTACAGTCACCACTACAGCCCTACACTAGGACACTACAGCCCTACACTAGGACACTACAGCCCTTCACTAGGACACTACAGCCCTACACTAGGACACTACAGCCACCTCACTACACACTACACAGGACACTACAGCCCTACACTAGGACACTACAGCCCTACACTACACTGGGACACTACAGCCCTACACTAGGACACTACAGCCCTACACTA